TAATATTTTCTATTGGAAAAAGAAATGCAAAAAGAGTGGTAAAGATCAACCAAATCAAAGCTCATCCCAATCGCGCGCACAGATCAGACCACCGGTGCAGCCAACTGTCTATCCAACCCAATCACCACAAGTGAGTCAACCACAGCCCCAGCACATAGACCCGACACCAAAAACACTGAGCCCTCAGCAACAGCCCCTTCCTCCACAACAGATGCAATACAATCCACAATTTCAATACACACCGCCCCCACCTATCCCTTATCAAGGTACGCCATATGGAATGCCTTATGGAATGGCACCAGGTATGCCATACGGAATGGCACCAGTGCAAACTTATATTGAGAATCCATACCGTCCTGGCTATGCTTATCAGACCCTTCCCGATGGCAGTGTTGTAGTGCCTCAAGGCTATGACCCCCAGGCAACTTTCAATGAATTCTCTAAGCCTAATATCCCGCCACCACCTCCAGGGGTAGCGCCAAATCCCGCACAGTTGGCTCATATGACGGGCAAGAAAGTGGTTATGGGAAAGAGGGCCAGACCTCTCTTTGATGATCCAAGTCATGGAGGATACACTTTCTGGTGATGCACTACAATAACCAATTTGTCTCTTAAATAAACATTTCTTATAAAAGAGATTTTAGTTTTGAAATATTTTAATTCTAACTTATTGTTTGTCTGTAAATTGATAACAGATACACGTTTAAGAATAATTTGATACTGGTATTCAATGTTTAGTGTAATGTTATTACAGTTATTGCTATATTATTATATTTACTGGTAGAAATTTTAAATGTTTTCAAGTTTAATTGATATATACTCGAGTACTTTTTAATATATTTTTAATTTATAATTAAAAACATTTAAATAATGATTAGAAGAAAGTTAATTAAATGAGATACGAGTAATTAATATGAAAAATCAATTCAAAATAAGAGTAATGACTGTTTATGAGGAATTTGAATAAAACAAATTTGATATAAATTTTGATGTATAAATAGTTGTATGATTTAAAATACAAATAATTAATTATCATTTTGACTGCAAACGCAACAACACCTCATAGATTAGGGCGAAGATTAGATTAATGAAAAAGTTGTGCTAAATTTGGATAATTTAATGTCAGTCTCAGTCATGAGTTATTCAAATTCATCATTCATAATATTTCATATAAATATTTGTTTCAACATTTATTTTTAAAGAATTGTATTAAATATTATTTACAAACATTTAAAAACATTAAATCAAATATTATACACTAATAATTCAGTTGTCTAAATCTTATTCAATTGTATAGTGTATTACTTATTTATATTGTTTTAATAATTTTGCAAATTATATCAATTAAACCACATAATATCAATCCAATCTAATCTATAAGTTTAAATATTTATATCGATTTTTTGTAATTAATTTAATGATGTATTAAAGGACATTGTATTTAAATGTTGTTTTACATAAATATTTTATCATCTAATTTTCTATTTTAAGTTTTCTATTTATAATAAAATAATTGATTAATTAACACTATCTATATTAAGAATGTGTGCCCACTACTATTAATTCAATTTATATTGTTTATGTCAAAAATCATAATTTTTATATAACTAATAATATTATTAATCATACTTTTCAACATTAAAAATCTCAAATAGAATTATAAACTATTTTAATGTAAATTTTAAATTAAAATCAAGCATAATAATCAATAAAATAACTATTTTCTTACAAATCACAATCACTTTAGAAATAATATTTATAACTCAAGATTATTTGCCTAAAGAATATGACGATTTAAATTTTAAAACAAATATTATTACTATATGTTAAATATATGGTTGGATAATACATCTTATAAGATAAGTATCATACAAAGAATTATTAGAATTAAAGATATTCATACTTTTTGAAATATTTGGTAAAAATCAAATGAAATTTCTATTATATAATTAATATAAGATATAGATTAATTATTTATAATAACTTTAATATTGATAACACTCTCATCGCTTAGAGCCAAATAAGTTGTACTCATTTTAAGCGCCAAAAAACGAATTATAAATTAATGAGTAAAATGAAGACATCAATAGTAGTTGGGATGAGAAGTGAATTCAGTGTCCAATGAATTGGTTTCTTAGTAGAAGTTATTTATAGAATCGATTGTAAGCTCCACTTTCCACCAACTTTTGACAACATGTATTCACTCATTACATACACTACTAAAGACCCGGTTTTGCAGGTCATGCCATAAAAAAATAATATTTTGACATAAAATTTGAATTTTTAGTTTTTAGTTTTTAGTTTTTAGTTTTTGATTTTTATTTTACTTTTTCATTGTATATAAACCGAGAATGAGTTACTTGATTACACACTTACACAACTTTTATTGAATTTCAATTTCAAACTTAAATCAAAGGTTTCATTGGAAATGTTTGTCAAAATGTTAAGCAGTTTTGTATATTATATTTTGATCGTATCGTTCAATCACTGTTGCGGTGCTTCCCATCTCATCCCAACAGCCATATCATCCCCGGGAGTGATGCGGTCATTGGGAAACCAATTCATGGGAATGGGATCACTGAATGCCGCCGCCGCAAACGCCTACTCCATGTATTCATTGCCATACCATATGAGTGCCAATATTCCGCTCCAGTATTCGGCCACATATTCCCAACCAACCGTTGATATACCCAGAAGTAAGTCATATTTTCTTACTAATTATTTGTATTTTTAATATTATAGTAGATAACCAAGACTATTTTATTTTTTCGCACAATATTATAGTTTATAATCTAAGAAATGTCAATTCAAATACAAATATCAACACTAATTCATTGAATACACAAAACAATGCAAAGAAAGTAGAAATACCGGTCACTCAACGACCATCAGATTTAACATCATTTAGTTCCCTTCCCATCAAATATCTCTCCTCAAGAATTATTGAGAGACAGCCTAAGACTGTGTCCACACAAGTGTTGCCACCAATTAATCAAAAGCCAATAAACGCACAATTTTTAAGGATACAGACCCTATCGACCACATTAACGCCAAATTATCACAAGAGTCGTTCAGAAAGAGTTGTCAGACCACTGATGACTACTACAACTACACCACCACCACCACCACCAACAACAACAACAACAACTACAAAGAGACCGAAAATTACTACCCAAACGATTCCAACCATAAATTCAGAGTTTGCGAGAGTACCTAACCTTAGCTTCAATTGGCCTAAAACTATGTTACAATCAAATTATACTTATATCCCAAAAGACATCCAAAGAGAAAGACAACAAACTCTGCCAATAGTTCCCAGAGAAGCAGAAAAGCCAATTCAAGACCGATTCTTCATAAATCAACACATCTTTGAATACAACACGGAATCACCACAAATGCAGACTCAGTTCATACCTCAAGAGTCCACAACCACTCCCACACCAAAAGAAGAACCAATGACTACAACACCACAAGAAACTAAAGAAGAGGTCAAGGATTCAGATAAAAAAGATAGGATCACTTCAGATGACTCCGAACAAAGTTACCAGTTCTTTGATGGCCACAGAGAGTCAAATGCCAATTATGATCCCATTCCCCAGTCAGAGCCCTTAAGTTCTTATAACAATCCTAATGATGAAAGTAATGGAATACCAAATGTTGACAATTATCCATATTTTTCACCACCACTTGAATCAGAACCCGAAATCCATGATAATTATGACAATACAGACAAGGGTTCAATACACGACTCAATTGATGACAATAATGAGAGTCAATTGAAGTCACTTTTAGAGCAATTCATTCAACAGTTGGATCTTTTAAGGTCTGTGGCCGCCAAAGAGCTATTGAAATCAGGTGGTGATCCGTATGGTTATGGTGTCCCTAAGAATGGCGAAGTCATCAGTCAATCAGTAGTTGAACCGTCAGTTTCTAAGAGTGGTGTGTCTTATGATGAATACCAAAACGAAAGGAGTTTTGAGCAAAATGTAGCAAATTCTGAGACTAAAGCTTATAAAGACAGTTACGATAAGAGTGTAAGGTTTGTATTTAATGCTGTATTTTAATTTAAAGTATTTTATTAATGATTTTATAATCACTCAGTGATTGACTTTACTTTATTACAATCAAACAGTAAGAAGCCGTGCAAAAAGCCATACCATGTCGGAGCCCTTCCATATACTGGAGTTCCCATTTAATTCACTTTTGAATCCACAATTATGCAAATTAATTTTATGCCATCGATTATGAAATAATTACCAAGTATATTTGGTAAATATATTGGCGATGTATTAAATACAGTATTATTTAAGCTACATATCAACATATTAATAAACGTTAAAAATTTAGTCTTTTAAATTATATAAACTTTGATGTATTGTACGTAATATTAAACTTTTATATTTTGTAGCTATAAATGTAAAACAATTACTATATGTCATAAAAGAATCTCATTTACGATAAACTTCTCAATAAATATTGATTTATCTTAATTGATTTGAACAAGCTTTATTAAATTGATTAAAAATTAATTAACTTCACTATCTACCATATTTTGTTAGAAATGATATAGTTATTTGACATAAATTAGATTTTATTTGAATTAAAAGTAAAGTTTCTATTTTGAGATAATTTTGTTGTTGTGTTTGATAACTTGAATGAATACGAAAACTAGTGAATCGGGTGTTTAAAGGGGTTAAGACGATGAGCAAAAGCAAAATACTTAACCTATATTTAAACAACAGATAAAATGAACGCATAATTTTAAACAAAAAATAACAATCCAAAAATAATTAAAAGTCAATTTATTACGAAATTTGTAGATGTTGTTAATTATATGAAAATATATTACATTAAAATTTTTTATTCAAAAATAATAATTATCTGTAAATTGATATCAAAAGATATGAATTTAAATAAGTATTAGAAAAAGGTTAATCGCAAAACATATACATTATTATGAAAACTACAGCTTGTAAGAAATAACTCAATTTCTAATCTAGGTATAGTATAATTTATATGGTAAATGTTATAAAAAATAATGTGATTTACGTGTGGATTAGATTGTGATCAACTTCTCGGGGTCCGTAACACCAAAGTTCTGGTTAATCACATAAAACCTTTCGGCGTCTCGACAGGGAGTGGCAAACGACTCGTCCTGACAGACCAGTAATCTCTGGTCAAAGATTGTGGTGTTTGGGCAGAAAAAGCTGAATTGTTGGGCCGGAGGGACGCACACGTGAAACACCTGACAGTTATTGTCGATATCGGCGTAGTATCCGTAGTCTCTGTTAAGATTGATTTATTTTAAGTTATAAAACTTATTTTTCACTAAAATCTACTCGTTAGAATAATCAGCATAGTACAAATAAGGTTATGATTAATTTTTTAAAAACAAAATATTGAATTATTTTGAATAGATAAATATATATTTGAGATGTTTTTTCAATAACTTATTATTATATCAGATAAATGGGTGGAAAGTATTAGAAATTATTGAAAAAACAAATTGCATTAAAAGATAAATATATAGTTTTAGTTTTTGTATTTAATTAACATGTTTTAATGTGAACGTAAAATATGACTGTCCAATTTTACAAACACTCTGATTAGTGCTACCAAAATATTTGTTTGATAAAAAATGTATATTAATAAGAGTCATTATTATATGGTGATCCAATATGTTTTATATTAAAGTGTCAGTAAATGAATGAGTATTATTAGTGAATTATTTCATTTCAGGGATTTCTGTGAACAAATCATAGAGACTTCAGACCTGTTCTCACAACTGAATGATTCCCTGATCTCCGGCACCACGAACTCCACGCCCGACGCGAACCTATAGGCGTTGGACTGACGCTTAACCTATCGTTTTATATTAGATTAATGAATGAATATATTTTTGTCATCATTTTAAACATTATATGTTAAATAAATCATATAAAATTAATTAATTAAAAATCTTACTCTTGATTTTTGGGCCATATTTGTTGAAACTAATGTTAAGACCATAACTACAGTTAACGTGAAATAAATTCTTGCCATTTGAAATAAATATATTAAGAGTTATATATTAAAAATATACACAAAACGGTTGTTCAAAACAAAATGATTGAAATGAAATAATTGACAGATATTTGCCTTCGAAAGCACTTTCACTGAACAGAATTCAAACAAATAAGAGATTGGAAAACAACTTTCAATGAGTTTTTGAGTGTCTTATAAGAAAAGAGGATGAATTCAATTGGTGTCGTCATTAACGCATCCCTGATGTCTGGCTTTGTGTGCAGTTTTAACAAACAATTGTCTAAAACAAACTCAATTCCCATAAGAGTGTGTTGTCCAATAAAATGTGGATTTATTTTAAATACACAAAAAATGGTTGCTTTCCACTGAAGTCGGCTAAAAGTAACAGTAATTTACAATTTATATAATCATAACATAAGACCAGAAATTATCATAAAAATGTACTCAGGATGTACAAAATATGTGTTAATTAAACAGTTTTATAACAACCAAATTGTGGGATGACCATTTTATAGATTCTCATAAAAATATTTAATAATTAGGAGTTTCTTATTTCTTTCTGTAATAAATTCCTTCATTTATATAAAACTTTTGTTTAAATTTTTAATTCCTTTGTTTGCAAAAATTATATACCAGATTTAAAATCATGTTAATCTGGAACTTTGTCTAATTTTTGAATCAAAAATAGATAACAATTGATTGTTTCTCAGGAATTAAATATTGTTTTTGAGACAAATCATGTATTAAAGGGGAAACAAATTCAAAGTGAATTGTTATATAAACGCCTTAAAGGCATCGTAATTCGTAATTAAGGACTTAATTCAGGAATATATGAAAAACTCATAAATTAGTCAAATGTAAAGAAATTGAACGAAAGTACGAAAGTGTTTCAAATATGGATCAAACTATTGAGTGAAGAGAGAGAAAGTCGACATAAACTATATTTTATCAGTCAGTCAGTGGTGTGTTGTTTATGGAGTGGAAAACAAACAAATATTATGTCAAAACTCATTCTCTATTTGTATTGTATTTGTTGTTTAGTTTACTTTATTTAATAGCATTCGCTTAAAGAGGTTAATGAATGCCGAGACTTATGTTGAGATGTTTGCTGTTTTCAACATTTTTTTGTTGTTATTTTCAATTATCGCTTATACTTATGCCTACACTTATGTCTAAAATTGTATTGTTTTGTTTAGCAATTATCATGAAGTTTAGTATAAATATAATTTCAGGATATTTATTCCGTTAAAAGCCTCTCTCACTCGTCACTACATTTTGATTGAGTTTATAATAAATGCATTTCTATTTGTAATTTTAATTTTCAAAACACAATTATTGGTTATAACTTCATATGTTTATAAAATAATATAAAAAAATTTTCTGATATTTAATTTGGTAATAATAGTTTAGACACATAGGGCCCGAAATTTAATATTTTCCTAAGATAACATATCAATTAGTTTTATCGCCAAAACACCCGGTATTTAATTACAGCATAATAGTGAACTGATAAGAGTGAGTGAGTGAGTGAGAGTGAGTGAGTGAGAGAGAGAGAGAGAGAGAGAGAATTAGCCAAGAAATTATAATTTTTGATTAAATTTAATTGTTTTTATAGCTCTTTTAATTGCTTTTTTTGTTCACTTTCAATGTCCTTCAAAATATAAATGTTTTATTTTTCGCTAATATTTTTCGAAACAATTAATTATTATTTTATTATCAATTCTACACTTTCAACAAAGAATCTCAAATTAAAATTAAATCTCAAAATCATAAGTAAAATTCTCAATAAATTATTAGTAATAAAACACAATAAATATTTCTAATAAATTATCTTTTTTCGTTTCAATCGGTAAGTTTACTTTACAACAAAATCAATAATAAAATTCAATTTACAATTCAGTCATATTTTAGATAATATCTGAGAATATTTTGCATTAAGAAAGTCAAATAAAGTATTCATTTTGTATTCATTAATTAAGAGCTTTTATTGTCTGACATTGAATATACTGTACACGAGAATTATTATTAGAAAACAAAATATTTTCAAATTTTTTAAATGTTGGGAATGACAAGCACATTTCATTATTTGTAACTATAATTGCATATACAAAATATTTTATACCACATTTTGTTATCCGTTCCGAGAAATTATAAAAATTATTATTAATTCTTTATTTTCTATTCATGTGTATATCATAAATGTTATAATTTCTCAGTATTTCATACTATTTTTAATTTCTATCAGTTTTAACCAGTATCGATTCCTATTAATCCTATTAATACTATTCATCACAACAAATATAACGACAAAAATCAATCAATGATTTCTAGTATCACTAAAAGGAAGTGTAAATCTACGAGACATTTGAGGTCAAGAGCACTATATATCCAAAGTTTGTTGAATTCTCTGGTTTTAAAGTCGGGCTAACAATCAGTAGATATCTTTGGCTAATAAAATAGGCATCAATGATACGATGCCAACAGATATGATATAACAATATATTTAACAAATTTGTGTCTTATTTGTGCAAAAATGTCCCACTTTTTAGACACTTGTTTATTAGTTCATCTATTGTCGGGTCAGTCCGCAGACAATTTCCTCGTAAAACAAACACCCATTCAATTACAATAGCATTTCATATTTATTTGATTTGCATTTTAATGTTTTTATGATCTGAATTAGAGAAAGACAACAAACTCTGCCAATAGTTCCCAGAGAAGCAGAAAAGCCAATTCAAGACCGATTCTTCATAAATCAACACATCTTTGAATACAACACGGAATCACCACAAATGCAGACTCAGTTCATACCTCAAGAGTCCACAACCACTCCCACACCAAAAGAAGAACCAATGACTACAACACCACAAGAAACTAAAGAAGAGGTGAAGGATTCAGATAAAAAAGATAGGATCACTTCAGATGACTCCGAACAAAGTTATCAGTTCTTTGATGGCCACAGAGGGTCAAATGCCAATTATGATCCCATTCCCCAATCAGAGCCTTTGAGTTTTTATAGCAATCCTAATGATGAAAGTAATGGAATACCAAATGTAGACAATTATCCATATTTTTCACCACCACTTCAATCAGAACCGGAAATCCATGATAATTATGACAATACAGACAAGGGTTCAATACATGACTCAATTGATGACAATAATGAGAGTCAATTGAAGTCACTTTTAGAGCAATTCATTCAACAGTTGGATCTTTTAAGGTCTGTGGCCGCCAAAGAGCTATTGAAATCAGGTGGTGATCCGTATGGTTATGGTGTCCCTAAGAATGGCGAAGTCATCAGTCAATCAGTGGTTGAACCGTCAGTTTCTAAGAGTGGTGTGTCTTATGATGAATACCAAAACGAAAGGAGTTTTGAGCAAAATTTAGCAAATTCTGAGACTAAAGCTTATAAAGACAGTTACGATAAGAGTGTAAGGTTTGTATTTAAATGCTGTATTTGAATTTAAAATATTTTATTAATGATTTTATAATCACTCAGTGATTGACTTTACTTTATTATCAAACAGTAAGAAGCCGTGCAAAAAGCCATACCATGTCGGAGCCCTTCCATATACTGGAGTTCCCATTTAATTCACTTTTGAATCCACAATTATGCAAATTAATTTTATGCCATCAATTATGAAATAATTACCAAGTATATTTGGTAAATATATTGGCAATGTATTAAATACAGTATTATTTAAGCTACATATCAACATATTAATAAACGTTAAAAATTTAGTCTTTTAAATTATATAAACTTTGATGTACTGTACGTAATATTAAACTTTTATATTTTGTAGCTATAAATGTAAAACAATTACTATATGTCATAAAAGAATCTCATTTACGATAAACTTCTCAATAAATATTGATTTATCTTAATTGATTTGAACAAGCTTTATTAAATTGATTAAAAATTAATTAACTTCACTATCTACCTTATTTAGTTAGAAATGATACAGTTATTTGACATAAATTAGATTTTATTTGAATTAAAAGTAAAGTTTCTATTTTGAGATAATTTTGTTGTTGTGTTTGATAACCAGAATGAATACGAAAACTAGTGAATCGGGTGTTTAAAGGGGTTAAGACGATGAGCAAAAGCAAAATACTTAACCTATATTTAAACAACAGATAAAATGAATGCATAAGTTTAAACAAAAAATAACAATCCAAAAATAATTAAAAGTCAATTTATTACGAAATTTGTAGATGTTGTTAATTATATGAAAATATATTACATAAAAATTTTTTATTCAAAAATAATAATTATCTGTAAATTGATATCAAAAGAATATCAATTTAAATAAGTATTAGAAAAAGGTTAATCGCAAAACATATACATTATTATGAAAACTACAGCTTGTAAGAAATAACTCAATTTCTAATCTAGGTATAGTATAATTTATATGGGAAATGTTATAAAAAATAATGTGATTTACGTGTGGATTAGATTGTGATCAACTTCTCGGGGTCCGTAACACCGAAGTTCTGGTTAATCACATAAAACCTTTCGGCTTCTCGACAAGGAGTGGCAAACGACTCGTCCTGACAGACCAGTAATCTCTGGTCAAAGATTGTGGTGTTTGGGCAGAAAAAGCTGAATTGTTGGGCCGGAGGGACGCACACGTGAAACACCTGACAATTATTGTCGATATCGGTGTAGTATCCATAGTCCCTGTTAAGATTTATTTATTTTAAGATTTATAAAACTTATTTTTCACTCAAATTTACTCGTTAGAATAATCAGCATAGTACAAATAACGTTATGATTAATTTTTTTTAAACAAAATATTCAATTATTTTGAATATATTTGAGATGTTTTTTCAATAACTTATTATTATATCAGATAAATGGGTGGAAAGTATTAGAAATTATTGAAAAAACAAATTGCATTAAAAGATAAATATATAGTTGTTTTTTGTATTTAATTAACATCTTTTAAAGTGAACGTAAAATATGACTGTCCAATTTTGCAAAACACTCTGATTAGTGCTAACGAAATATTTGTTTCATAACAAACGTATATTAATAAAGGTCATTATTATATGGTCATCCAATATGTTTTATATTAAAGTGTCAGTAAATGAATGAGTATTATTAGTGAATTATGAATTTTAGGGATTTCTGTGAACAAATCATAGAGACTTCAGACCTGTTCTCACAACTGAATGATTCCCTGATCTCCGGCACCACGAACTCCACGCCCGACGCGAACCTATAGGCGTTGGACTGACGCTTAACCT